AAACACTTGAGGTGCTACTCATTTTCCAAAAACAATTCCAACAATCTCACATATGCAATTCCCAACGAGTTCAAAATTTATAAATAATCAACACCCAAACCGGGTTCGTGACATCAACACCAAAAACGGGTTCATCAAATCCATAAATACTAGGGAGTACACTCCCTATCGATAATCCAGTACTCAACATAAGTCAGGAATGCATAAATCATAATAAGCAATTTAATGCAGCGGAAATAAACGATACCGTGACCACCACTCGCTTCCCTCTGTCGTACCCGCAATTACTAACCTGCATCATTGAAGAGCAGGTGGGGATGAGCACAATAGGAAAATCGAGGTGCTCACCACTATGCAATAAACATTTACGTATCAAACGGTAACAGAGAAAGTACGATCACAACATGTATATGAATCAATTTAAGTATTCCAAGTTTCATCGTAAATTCACAGTGTTCAGACTCATGTGCATATATATACCAATAGACTACTGTCGGTAGATGTATCGAAGGCCCTCGCTCGGGTCATGCTTCGAATGCCCTATGGGCTCTACATCTATGCCCTCCGGTCCTACACACCGGATCGCCCCACGGGCTTCCATCGATGCCCGGTCAGTAGGAGTAACCCCTCGGGTTTTCATTTCATAAATACGGGACAACCGTTCGACGGCCGATACAGCTCACATCGAAGGCTACATGATTCGTAAGCACGCATTGATCATATTCAAGTACGATAAACATTTTATTGCATAGACAATTTTTAAATAAAACCCACCTGGATGCAGCAAGAGGTATAGCCAACTCAGAAGGAAATATGGCAATAGTTCAACTCGAAGGACATACAACAATTTATAATGACCTATCACTGACTGCCCAATTCAAAACAACACGCAAGGCACATATACTTAGCCGAAATCATATCGACTAAGTGACTCGTGGATTCCTTGACCGAGTTAGGTACTATGGAGTAACTACCAGACCTGGACACAACTCAAATACTTCATATAATATACATAAATCATGCCAACATCAATAAAATACAATCTTAACCTAAACAATCGATAACCGAACATTTAGACTCCAAAATAAACTAAATTCAGAATTAGGAGTTAGACTCAGCCAATCAACCTAAAACTTTACCACATTATAAAACATCCAAAAACACATAAACTCACCAAGTTTCACCCTAAATTCATCTGGGAACATTTTTAAATGATTTTTACAAGTTTCTGCCTAGAAACCGTTTTAAGCATTTGAACTCGAAAAACTCAACAATAAATTCAGGGGCTTGGTACACACATTGCACATATTCAGGGGCGTAACATATTAAAATTTCAGCTCACATGGATAACGACTCGATTATGGTGAATTTATTACGATTCAACAGCATGTTCGGTTTAGAAAAATCATAACTCTCAAAATACAACTCGAAACGACTTCAAACCAAAACTAACAGATCAAGGACAACTCCAAGTACCTATGACTACAGGATTTCCACGAAACGAACCACATATGTTCAGTTCGACAATTATTCAAAGTGACGGCAATCACTTTGATATCCAATTCGCGAATATAAAATAAAATTCATACAATTACCCAACTAAGGCACGAATTTAAATTCCCGAAGCATGTTTAGCATCCATTTCACAAAATCAAGCACATAAAATAATATGGGATTAAACGAGACGGGTCGAGCCTTGTACCGTTCTCGGGATTCGATCGAAAATGGAACGAACGGTTCGAACGGACACGTAAGCGTGCACCGACGGCTCGACAACTACGTTTGGCTCGCCAACGGAAACACGGTGAACGGGGTTGTTCCGGCTCGCTTGGGACGCTGGAAAAACGATCGCGGAGGTGCCGACGGACAGCGAGAATTTGCTGGTGGTGCTCGACCGAAACGAGGGGGCTTGCGGTGGCGGCTAATGACCCGACGGAAGGTGATGTTGCGAACAAAGAACGCGGCAGCGGCGGCTTGCGATGGACAGCAGCCGGGAGTGGTACTTCTCGTCGTGGAGCTGTTGCGGACATCGACAGCGGTGGGGAGCTTCTCGCCGGGAGGAGTGCAGCAGGTTTCTCGAGGGTGGTTGACGGTCGCTCGCGGCGGAAATCCGCGAGTAGGGTCGCCGGCAAGACTTGCAGGTGGTGGCGTCGCGAGCAGGGGAGGCGCTGCAGCGACTCGTCGCGGGGGAGAAGAGCTCTCTGGCGGCTGGTTCACGGCGGCGCTGCGACCTGCCGGAGAAGGAGCAGGCGGAGGTCTTGATGGCGGGCCGCGACGCTGGTGATGCGCAGGTCGCCGGAGTGCAGCGGAGCAGTAGACGGCTGTTGCAGTGGCGTCCTTCGGTGGCTGGAGCTCACGGCTTTCCGGCGACGAACGGCGTGCGTCCTGCGATGGCGGTGAGGAGGGCTCCGCAGGGGTTCTCGTGAATCCTCGTCGATGGCAGAGGCTGGGACGTCGGCGGAAAAAGGGTTCGCAATTTGACGGGAGTTGCTGCTGAAGGAATATGGTGAGTGAATTGAAAGAGACGGGTTCTCTCTGCTGCAAATCCAAGCAGATCTGATTTGGGGAGAAAAAGAAATGAGACGTGTGGGAATTGGGGAAGGTGGGGGTCTTTGGAATCTATGATAAGTGAGGGTCAAAGGAAATTAAAGTCATATCAATTACGAGACAACATTACATAAGAGTAGGGATGAAAACGATCGGGAACGATGGGCATAGGGATCAACCATTTCCACTTTCATATTTTTTTCTCGAAAACGAAAATGATACGATAATGTCGGAAACGAAAACGACATCGGTATTCCGGTAATATTGAAAACGAAACTATCCGATCGAAAATACATCGATAACGATAGAAATATATTAAAACGGTATTTAAAGAACGATAAACACACCACATTATAAAATATAGCATTAAAACATAAATTGAAATATTCTCACGGCATAATAGTGGCAAAATCCAAATTAAAATCCACGAGAGTGAAGACCGAAAGGGGTGAAGGGGATTTCAGGATTTGGGCACAGGGTTGGGCTGAAGGGGATTTGGGCATTTGGCCCATTTGGGATTTGGATTGGGCTTTATAATTAAAAGTGAGCCTAGTATGAGTTGGGCCGGTATTACCGACGGTAAAATACTGTTTAAATACGGTAATTTTTGAAAACGATCGGAAAAAGGGCTAAACCGTTTTCGTTTTCATTTTCGAATTTTTTTACCGTTTTCATTTCCGTTTTTCCGGTTACCGTTACCGTTTCCGTTTAGCCTCCAAATCCGGAAAAATTTCGAAAACGATTCTCGGTAATCGGAAATTACCGTTTCCGTTTTCATCCCTACATAAGAGCATCTCTAATGCATTCTTTTGAAAGGGTAAAAAGTTATCCACCTAATCTACAAAGTGTGTGAATAATATATCCTCCAATGCATTATATTATGGGTCCTTTCATTCTTATGTGTAAAAATCAATATTAACATTGTCAAGCTCACTTTCTAATTTCTCACATTCTTTCTAACTTGATGACTCATCATTTTGATAATTATTTGACACAAATTTTGAGCTTTTCATAAACTGGGAAAATCCCACCCTTACATTTATCCAATAAAACATTTGAGAATTTATTTGAATACAGTATAATTATTTGATGAGTTACAACTAAAATTTAAATAATTTATCAATAATAATGTCCTTAAAAGTAAAATATTATGTTCATGATATTTGTTTGTTGAGTTATTGCAATTTTAATATTTTGTTGTTTTATTTTGAACCAATTAAAAAAATATTTATTGTGTGGTTATACATATTGTAACTGAGAAATTATTGAATAAATAATAATTTTATAAATTTGATGATATAAATAAAAATAATTGAATCAACAAAAAATAACATCATGCATATAATTATTGGAATTTGTGGTTTTTTTCTAATATACTCTTTGATTTTATTACTAATTGAATAAATCCACGTATACAAATTGTATGGTTGTTGAATGGATGCATTGGAGGCAACAATTCAAATGAAAGTCATATTCTTTTAACATTCAATTCATGTAGATTAAACATTAATCCATTGATTGACATGTGTTCAAATTTAATTAATATTGAAAGTTGAGCATTGGAGATGCTCTAAGCGAGTACTTAATTGGTGTCGGTCAAAAAAAAGAGGTTGAGGGCTGACCAAAATACTAACCATTTTACGCTCCATAGGTATTTGAAATTCAAACCAAGTCCTGGGTCAAAGCCTCTCATTTGGGCCGGTTTCTTGGGCAATGATAGGGGCCGAACCTACTAAATAAAAAGAGCCGAGAAATTCTTTTAACAATGGGCCGGTTTGGGTCGGCCTATTCGTACGAAGGCTCAAGGAACGAATCGGCTCTCGGGTCCGACCAGACGTAAAATTAATTCTGTTCGGTTTGAAAATTAATTCGCACAATAAATAAATAAACCGGATATTATATATATTTATAATACATACAATTTAAATTTTAAATTAATAATAATAATATTAGTAAAAATACAAATACACAATTTAATTAGTTAATAATACTTAGACAAATATGCAATTAATTAATATTAAAATAAATAATCAATTTGCCAAATAAATCACACTCGACAATTAATAACTTATAGCATTCAATAAATAATAATAATAACACATAAATATAGATAATAATAATAATAATAATAATAATAATAATAATAATAATAAAAATAATAATACTCAAAAATTCCATAGTCAAACGGGTTTACAATCGGTTCACGCGATTAAACCGAAATCGCCGAACAACGAATGTTTTTAAATAAAACAATCTGAGTATTCTAACCTTTCATTTAAGTCGACATCGCGACCAATAAAATAAATATAACCGCATAAATAATATTCGTTAAATTGAATAGTCCGAGAAATTTTATAAATCGAACCAGCAACGGTGGCCATCATCCTCTGCCGGAGACGAAAATGAACGATGTGACTGAAGGGTTTAAGAGGGAGATGAGGGATTTAGAGTAGATGCTCTCGAAATTGAACCCCATGGCCAAGGAATTTGTGCCGCCGTCTCTGGGCGGGAATCCGCAAGCTGCAGCCACGGCAGGGCATTTTGGGTATAATGCTAATGGTTTTGTAATTCAGCAGCTCGTTAATTCAGATGCCCCGACTGAAAATTCTTTTTCGAGGGTTGGTATTCTATCTGATATTTCATATCCTTTTTCTGGTTGATTCTGGGAAGGGACTATGGAAATTATGGTTTTTATTGTCATGTGATTATGATGATACTTAACAATTATAGCGTGTCAAGAAGTAATTTGATTTATTTTGGATTATTTTGTGTTTTAGACTTCTTGTTTTCCCCTCCTCTTCTTGGGTAATCAGAATACAAAACAGAACTGTTTCCTTTAGTTTAATTGTTTTCTCTCTCTTTCACACTAACTCTCTATCTCTTTCGGTGTGTTATTCTGTTTCCACTGGCCATCTTTCTAACAGGGGTTAAGATTGCTATTTGTTTGATTTTATGTTTTTCTGAAATTCTGATATGCAGGAGAAAAATGGCTACGTTCAAGGCAGGCGAAGGACGAATAGCAGAACAAACATGGCTCAAGAGAAGATGTGATCAGAAGGACAGTGTATGTTTCTGACATTGATCATCAGGTAAAAGTAGTTTACAGATTGTCTATAGTCTTTTACCTATTTGTTTGGATAACAGTAAACAATGTAAAGATTTGGACTTTCTTGTGATGAATGTAGGTTACTGAAGAGCAACTTGCACCCCTATTCATTAGCTGTCGACAGGTATTTTATGTGTCAGAATTCTATTCTCAGTGGGCAGTGGCCAAAATCTGCATTACAACAAAACAATATTACTAATTTTTTTATATATGGCATTTTTATTTTCCTTTTCTTTCTTTTATTTATTATTTTTTTTTCTGTGCTGCTCGTGATAAAGGTTGTGGATTGCCGTGTTTGTGGTGACCCTAATTCTGTGCTCCGCTTCGCATTCGTTGAGTTCACAAATGTCGGTACGTAAATAAACCCAAACCTCGTTGTTCTTGTTTTTGAAAAGCATCATCAAGGTTTGTATCTCATTGTATATCTATAATGTGATTTGCAGAAGGTGCAAGGAATGCATTGAGATTAGCAGGAACCATGCTTGGCTATTATCCAGTGAGAGTGTTGCCTTCTAAAACTGCAATAGCACCTGTTAATCCGACATTCTTGCCAAGAGTGAGAAGCCTTCTTCTTATGGTTTTTTAGTTAGTTGACAGGCATTACTGAAAACTAATATTCATGAGGTTTAGCCAATAAAAATACGATGGTTAAAATTTTTGAACTTAGTAAGTATTCAGCTACATTTGTTGTCTTTTACAAGTTTTAATAACCTCAAGCAGTTGTGCTTGGGGGTATTTGGTAGGTGAATATATATACTTCAAGGGGTGCTTGTTATACTTTAAGGGGTTATTTGTAATTAAAGAAAGATGATTGGAGCTTTTTTTACGATTAGGCTGAAGGTAGGGTTGTTTCGAAACTACCCTTGTTGCGAAACAAGTTTTAGCACCATTTTCCTTTGTTAATGTACTAACTATATTTTGTACTGTGATTGTAGTCCGAGGATGAACGAGAGACGTGCGCAAGAACTATTTATTGCACAAACATTGATAAAAAGGTAATTTTTCGGAACACGATCACCATTGAACTAGAAAATAAAAGGCACGATTAATTTATTCCTTTGTTTGATTAACAGGTCTCTCAAGCAGATGTCAAACTCTTTTTCAAGTCCATTTGTGGCGAGGTATGCAGCCAACGGATATAATGACTGATATACCTATGTAAATATTCTTTTTTTTTCTTTATTTATTAAATACTTTTACTCATCAGGTCGCTTGAGGTTGCTTGGTCACTATCATCATTATACTCGTATAGCTTTTGTTGAGTTTGTAATGGTGAGAACCACAGTTTTATCATTCATTCGTGTCGGACGTGTTTTCTAGTAATGTGATGTCAGCTAATAATAAATTCACAACATTTATTTTAGATTGAAAAATGCTACATGTACATAATAAATGTAAATAGAGGTGTACATGACACTCACATGGAGTGGGGTCCACTTAATTTTTTATTTTTGGTGGGCCCCACTAAATATGAGTGTTATGTACACCCTTATATACAATATTATGTACGTATAGCATTTCCCTTTTAGATTTGCCATTTGCGGCTAGTTGTTATTTTATAGCTCCTATTCCAATGTATAAATATTTGGGTTGATGCAGGGCAAGCATTCTTAATAGGGCCTTTTATGCTAACAAGATATAGATAGAGATATACGAGTTGTTGAGATTATGTTATACTGAAAAATGTTGAAAAGGTTTATAGATGAGTGAAAGAGAAGCTACTTATGTAGCTAGCTAGGCTTCTTCTTGGACATGCTATTCAATTTAAATTAACATCTATGATCTATTTCTCCTCTTTTTTTTTTTTNTAAACTCTATCTATCTATATATACATACATACATGACAAATGATGAAACATAACGGAAAGAAAATGTTGGTCACATACCCACATCTGTTATTTATATGATCATTTTTCTAACTTATCTTGATGCACCCAACATACCGAACACGTAATATTATAGAATGTTTTACGGTCACGTTATGAGAAAAAAATGATGTATGTGAAATAAAGTTATAACTTTTACCCGCGGCAGGCCTTTCAAACAGCCTCAGATATTGATAAACTAATCTACGTATCCACGAGATGCACGGACGAATTGTTATACTCTCTCTGTTTCTTTTTAGGTGTCGTCTTAATTTAAAACTTCTAAATTACGATTTTCATGGGATGTGTAATAATCTTATATATTAATCCTCATAAATTTAGTGTTTGAATTATTAATGGTTGATTTTTAAAGATAATGATAAGAGATAAAGTTTGTTAAATAAGATAAAATTGAAAAAATGAATAAAATATTTTCAACGAGAACTAATTTACAAAAATGTTAACATCCTATAACGACATGTATTAAGAAACAGAGGGAGTACAATATATACTACATGATTAAACTAATGTACAAAATTCACAAAATATACTTTTTTGGTATATTGAAAGTAAAATATTACATTCATATTTTATGTATTATGAAATGATCATTTATAGGCGTTTCGATTTCTAAGTTACTTGGCCATTAACTATTTATTCATAAATTGACACACGATCATATGATTGATGCCTCATGACAACGATGTTTTGATTGATTAAAGTAAGAACCTCAATCGAAACTTCACGGTGTCACCCAATTTGGGTTGCTTGGCAAGTGACTAAGACACAAAATCTATATTTATATCTATATTTATATCTATATCTATATCTATATATATATAAGAATAACTATTTATCAAAAATAGTAGCAAAAAATAGGACATAATTTAATGTAACCCATAAATAGTAAGTTTTATTATTTAAATATTGTCTTAAATTTCGGACTTTAATTTATTTTACAATTTAAAAATTCCGGCTAAAATCTATTAAGTGTGCATGTTTTTATTTTTATTTTATTTTTTTCTTATAAACAACGAGTAACATGAAAATCTCAGTCTCTATATTTATAAAATCTCAGTTCAAAAGGTAACAAAAGTTTTAGAATATCGGTCTTTATATTTTTGCCTTTAAAAAAAATATTGAACATTATTATTTATCAATTTTTTGTTTACCAATCTACTGTTTTTTTTTAAACTCGATTTCAGAAGGTAAAATAATTTTCAAATTCTCAGTCTCAATAGTTGTGCGTTTCAAAAAGAATATTTCATGATAATTTATTATTTGTTAATAATACACAATTTTGAAAATTCAATTATAAATTATATGTTGATATCCAAATCATTTTATAAATGCAACCCGCTTTATTAAATCTTCACGAAAAAATGGTAAAACAATATGCGACGATCAATTTTGTATGGAAATAAAAATAAAATCAATAAATCAATATGAAGTTCAAAGAAATGAACATAATTAATTAATAATTTGAATAGTACACGGATCTCAAAATTAATACTCACATGGATTCTAAAATTCAAACTTATACTTATCATCATCATTTGGAAATTGAATAATAAACTGTAGGTAAGATTTTATTAAATAATTTTAGATATGTTTTCTTTACTAAACAGTTTAGAAAAATTTTAGGTGACTTCACATATTTCAATAATGATGTATAAAATTTTAGATACTTTACATACGTTATATAGTATTTTAGGTGTTTTTAATATTTTAAACATAAATTCTTTTATATTATTTTATACAAGATAATTTTATATTGTTTACAACTGATATACGATAAATTATGTCACATATTAACTCCACATCTTAATTTATAATTTTAGTTAATATTGGTTACTCTCATATTTAATTCATAATTATTAGTTAATATTGTTTAACCTCATTTTTAATTTATAATAATTATTTAATATTGTTTATCCATACATCGCACGAGATATGCACTAGTTGAAATCACAAGAAAAGGTAACAATATGAAACAAAACAATAGGACCCACGAAAACTGAAGTCCGGAAAGTTCACCATATATACTGAAAAGGTTTGGTTCAAACAGTAGATCTCTTGTGAAGCCTTCCATTGAAACGTAATTTAATAATTACTGTTGGGCTATAATCCTCTATCTCTCTCTCTCTCAGAATTTTTGTATTCTTGTGGAAAGACGAGAATAAGTAGATGTGCTTGTATATATACACACACTGCAGGAAATATCCAAAAGAGAAAAAAAAAATGTTGAGTGTGGGTTCGACTGCAGGAAGTATCCAAAAGAGAGGAAAAAAAATAAGAAGAAAAAAACAAATATGTTGAGTGTGGGATTCGAACCCACGCCCTTTCGGACCAGAACCTTAATCTGGCGCCTTAGACCAACTCGGCCAACTCAACGTTATGCTTGAACTGGGTAGTAAAAACTATTTAGAATAAATAATTTTGATTATAAGCACCCCAAAGTTGATTGAAACTAAGCGGGACAGAATTTTGATTGTAAACAACTCAAATTTTAATTTAAAAGATTTTAAGAAGTGGGGAGAATGCATTGGAATATGGAATCTTCGTGTTCCCGCCAAAACAATCTGAGGCTCCCCCTTTCTTATGTTAACGAGACTCGAGAGTAGTGGGTGTAAATCTATAGTATATAACTAATCAATAAATTCTAGTTGGTCAAATCAGTCGAAAGAGACTAATTACTAGTCTACTTGAAATTTAAAAATTCAAGTCAAATTAGATCTTTTCCTTTACCGACCAAAAAGATTCTTATTTTTCTTTTTAGAAATTCGTAATATTTTATGAAATTTCCTTCTATTTTTATATTAAACTTTTTCCGTCCAATATTATTATTTTATTTTGGAAATTATATTCTCTAATAAATAAAGATTCTGAAAAATAATCTAGTTTTCTATAATTCTTATTAGATGTCTAAATTAGAACTTGACTATAATTACGTATAAATTACCATAAAATAGTTATAAATTAACTATAAATTAAATTATCATACACTATTACAAATTGTAAAATGGTTTATTTTTAATGGAAAGCAAAAGTTTCAAACTAGCGCAAAATTAATTAGGTTCTTACTGTTTTGATATATGATTTTTAAAACTTTAATAACTATTTAGCTTTCATTATTTTTTTTCATACAAACTATATATTGTTGATTAGAAGACAACCAATAAATCTATATCTATATCCAATACCATTAAAAAAATTATAAATAGACTTAAAATATTTCTGAACTTTGAAGTATTAAATAAATAATTATATTAATTGTATATAAAGCTCAATACTAAATGGCCATTTCGTAATTCTTATATACAGATAATAAATTAATTATATTTTTACAACTTTTTTAATTTAACACTCAGAGTGGAGATATAAGACTAATTTTTTTTTTATTATTTTTTTTTAAAACGATAGGAATCACATACATTCACAAACAACAAAACTGACTCAAATAAACAGCCACAAGATCAAATAAAACAGCTAACCTACTTAATCCAGTCGGGAGAAATACATCAAAGGTAGCCTAAACAAGAATACCACATATAAGAAAGGAAGCAGACATGGGTTAAAATTGGGTATGGCAATTACTAAAGAAAGGGGGAGACATTGGAATAAGGAGCTAATAAAAGCTACTTTCAGTGATAAGAACAGTGCACCTATCTTACAGATCAAGTCTCTGAATCCTAGCTTGAAGGATAGATGGGTGTGGGCCTTTGAAGCTACTGGGAAGTTCAATGTGGCACTGCCTACTCAAACTGCATTTGTTGACAAGATAAGAAGACTGGACAGAGCTGAGGGAAGTGAATCTAGACAAAAAGGTGAGGCAAAAAAGTTGGAGGCTGGAGGTGAAAGAAAAAATCAAACATTTCTTTTTGGACGTGCTACTCGGGGGGTTCTGCTGTCAGTGTGGAAATCAAGAAAACAGGAATTGATGTGGAAATCAAGCTCAGAAAATTTAGAAGTTGGCCCCAATTCAATGGGATGGCATTCTGATGAAGACGAGACCGTCATTGCGTATTTGAATAAATATGACTGCCTCTGGGTTTAGTCGGTTTTATTGTCTCATTATTATTCGTACTCTTTTATTTTATTTCCTTTAGTTAATTAGTATTTTGGGGTAGAAAAATAATTATCTTGCAGTTGTGGGGCAAGATTAGGATTTTTTACTTTTCCTTTTCATTTATATGTTACTTGGACGATTAGGGAAGTCAGTTTTTGACGATTGAAAAATTTATCTGCTTGAGAGAGTATCTCATTTTTATTAGTTCTTGAGAGAGTATCTCAAAACCTTTCCCGTTCTTATCACGTTCTACATCATATTCACTCTGATTCCAGAAAGTTCAAGGATTGGTGGTGGGATTTTTGTTCCTTGACTCCAAAGAGTTTTGAATCCCGGATCCAGATAACAACCTATATCCTATGGTGGCTTTGGAAATCGAATTTGTGAAAATTTTAGGATGTTTTGGATAGTAGAGGCTACTATCATTAGCTCAACAAGGACCGAATGGATGGAGTTTCTACAGGTACAAAATTGTGTTCTAAATTGTCCAGGTGTTTACAGATTCTAAGGAGGAAAGAGTTTATTTTGGTTCAATCGTTTTCTAAACTTTTTCTTGTTTTTTTTATTTGTTTTGGGTCTTGGTTGCTTGATGTATTCTAGAGGTGTCGGAATGCATGTGCTTTGACTTTAGTTTATTTCTAGTGACTGTCTTGGGTTGTTGTTTGAGTTTAAGGTACTATTTAGTGTGGTTCTCTGTTTTCTTTTGGTATGGGATTAGTTGATCCCGGTTGTAAACTCTTTTATTTTGTTTATGAGCGAGCATTCTGTCATTCCCAAGAAAAAAAAAAGAAGAAAAAAAAAAATTATCATTAACAAAGCAAATTAATATAAACGAACCAAAAATCCTAAAATGCCCCAATCTTCCAATAACATTGACAAAAATGCTTTTATGAGCATTCTATGTCGTTCCCCAAAAAAGAAAAAAGACAATTTATCATTAGCAAAGCAAATTAATAGAAATGCACCAAAAATCCTAAAAAGGCCCAATTTTCTAATAACATCGACAAAAATGCTAAACGGTGCACCAAAACATAGCATCATGCAGTTGCTCACAAATTCACCAGGTGTCAATAAAAATTCCAGATTTTCCAATTTAATTGAAAATAATGTTGTTAAATCAACTACATTCTCGGCTCAGAAAAATAAATTGCACTCAGAAGATATATAACTTAGGAGTTTACGGCATTCATTCATGAACCATCTCCAATTCTTTGCTTGCCACTTTGGATGCCAGTAATTCAGTTCAAAGCAATCGACTTAATGCAATCCAAAATATGTCACCCTGTATTCAAGGAAACAATCGAACTGTAAGACTAAATAGATAATCAGAAGTCTCAAGTTTAGCTAATTAAATAAACATCTCCACATCATCAGTGTGATGCAAACGAAAAGAAAAGCATCAATATTAGTAATGTATTGAAAATTGAAATAATTATTTAGATTTGTATGCTCCAGGTATCCAGAATCCTTATTCCAAAAATTCTCTCAAACTTCAAGTGAAGCTTTCCTTGTTGCATCTTCAAGATAACTATATTAGTAAACAATTTCCTCTGATACACAAAGTTTTAATATAATGAATACAGCCAAAAACCCCCCACAAACTATAGCAGGCAGAAAAATAATGTGTTTATGAAAAATAAAACATGTTTGGTAAAAAAAATATAACTTACTATCTTCTTAGACTTGATGCAGCTCCTACTGCTCTGAAAAATAAAGAGTACCACATCGTTTAGATCAGAAACTATATAGCCAAAAGCAGAAACAAGAAGTGAAAATTGAAAATGCATAAAAAAAAACACCTGTTGGGTCCCACAGGCTCAGGAAAATTAGCCATTTTTAGTCGTTGTCGGGACTGAGCCATGGGCGTGACCACCACAGAAGGAAAGAAGGATGAATAAAAAGATGGAGCTGCTGCAGCAACTTCAGCAACAGCTGCTGTGGCTGCTATCAGTTGTTGTGCCCCTTCCCGAAGATGAATATAGTCCCCCTCAATAGAAAATAACTAGAGCAACGAGAAAAATAACTGGATGAATAAATTCCAAAAAAATTATGTTTATTAGCAAATTGATATTGGATTTTATTTTACAAATGGACCCTATGTAGATGACTAAGGCTATGTTTGGTAAAACTAGCTGATAAGCTAGCTTATAGCTTATCAGTTATTTTCGAGCTTATACTTTATCAGTAATTTTCGAGGTTATAGCTTATAGCTTATGACTTATAGCTGAAAATATAGCTTATATGATAAAAGTGTTTGGTAAAATTAACTAATAAGATAGCTGAAATAAAAATTTCAACGAGCTTATTTGAAAAGCTACCTAAAGAAACTTATGAAATAAGCTCGAGCTTTTTAAATAAGCTCGTCCTACCAAACGAATCTTATTTAAATACAAGAAACTAAGAGCATGTATGTTTATGGAATTTTTAGTTTGTTTGGATTTTTAGTTTTGGTTTGGTTAATTTTTTTAAAAAGTTGTATGGTTAGTTGTTAGTGGGTATATTAAAATAATATTTAAAATAAAATAATTAAAACTAATTTGATGTAAAAGTAGAAATAATTAAAATTGATTTGATGTAAAAGTAGGAGAGAGATGGTTGAAGTGATGGAATAATATTTATAATAAAATAATTAAAATTGATATGATGCAAAAGTATGAGAGAGATATTTGAAGTGATGGTTAGTTAAAATAATGTGAGTGGATGAATAGTGAATTAAGGTTGATGTGGTGTTTATGAATGATTGATTGATATTATTTAATTATATTAATAATATTGATGATAGTGGGGTTGAGTTAAAGTTGAGTTAAAAAAAATGGTTGAGTTAAAATGTGAATTTTGTTTGAAAAATTTCCATAAACAAACATGCCCTTATAAGCTAATCAAATAAGCTATAAGCGCTAGCTTATTTGCCTACCAAACATAGCCTAAATAATTAACAGAAGACAAGCTTCATCTGGTAAGTTTAATTAGGCCTTTCTGTAATTAGGTCAAACCTCTAGCATGAATGCGAGAATTATAAGGACAAGGAAAAAGGATGACATACCTCTGGATGACTGGCCACAAAATCATCAAGCTTCCCATATTTCTTTTTGTAATCATGCCAGTGAAGCGGGGAAAGCATTTTGGCAAGTCGATTAGGAAGCTGTGCGCATACATTACAAAATGCACCAGTTACAAGTCATGTTCTAAGAGAGTAACACCATATACTGCCAAAACGTATAAACAACAAAATTATTTCGCTGACCGTTGTACTGATCCTTATTCTTCCACCAGATCCTATTGCACGGGCTATAGAAGCCAGCAATGCTCTTTCGTCAATCAGATAACTGTCCTCGGGCTTTCCTATGATGTTATTTTTCTGCCCAGCAGCAACTGTGGAATCTGTCAAATCTACACTCGAGGCAGCATCTGTTGTTGCTTCACTTACAGTTTCAGCATTAGCCACTGCTTCGAATGTGGATACATTAATAGCAAGATTTGAATGTTCAGACATTATGTTCTGGTGTTCCGTTTCCTGGTCAGTCACTGATTTGACTGGCTTCTCCTGAGATAGCATTAGAATAAAAATGAACTAATAATCACACCCAGAAAATAAATTACAGCAAAGAAACACAGATATTAATGAATAAATAAAGATTATGCCAAGTCAATGCAGGGATGAAAGTTATCAAACCTCCTCAGCTCCTTTGCCACGTTCAATAGGATTCAGGTTCATAACGTCGCGAAACTGAGAAGATATCTGCTGCAACCTCTGTGGGGACTGGGATTTGTCAAAGGTTTTATCAGAAATATCAAAAACCTATATAATGTCAACAGAATGACAACGAGAAGGATATGGAAATCAATCCACACAAAAATTATATTCGAAATTATCCTACATTCAATTCAATTTTTTTAGCTACCAACCTGTCCCTCTCCATTTGCTAAAGGGCTCACAGCATTGGCATCTACACCTTGGCTGATTTTCATATCCCGAAAGTCTGCAGAAATGATTTGGCCATTCACTGAAGTTTCATATCTGTACCGAGAGTCTGTTCTTAAAACATTTTGTTCAATTTCCTGAGGATACTGGTTCTGGGAGGGCTCATTTTGGTCATTTGGCTGAGGCTTCAATGTGGTAAAGCAAGAAAAGCGTCAACTTATAACAAAGTTTTGAAACTTTAAATAAACATCAAAAAGAAGAAAACAATATGGCGGCATGCACTAACTTGTTGGTCCTGCCAGTTTCGAGTGGGCATTGCAGATACAGTGTGAAATTGAGATTGCAATACTTGTGATGGGAGTGGCAGACCTTGTTGGTGCATCACAAAAGGATGTAAAGCAGCCATCTGCCCAGTTGGAATGTAGGTCGGCACACCGAGTAGAGATGGAGGAGCAAATGTAACCTGACTGTGGTCGCCCTAGGAAACAAGAAATGTAAGATTTCAGATACATGTAGTAAAAAGCCTAATTATAAAATTCATCTTATGCATCCTGGAATATAATCCCAACAATGGAAGGCTATTCTTTAAGTGGCATCCACACAGTGGTAGAATTGTAATAAATTAAAATGGAAAGAAAGCAAAAGGAATATGATGGACATCATTCTGCGTGAATGAGGTGCAGAGAAATGAACGCAAAGAAAAAAGGCATAGGGAAATCAACAAGAGTTAAAAAGAAAAAAGATATTACTTAATGAGGAAAGCTATCTTTCACAGGCAAGCAACAGAAGCAACCAACAAGGGAGGAATATTTTACCTGAGTTGAGATGTTTACTCCAGAACCTATTTCAGAGTTTCCACTTTGCAGGTCACTAGAGTCCGCAATTTGTGAAGTATTGTCATTTACCTCAAGCTTGCTGTCATTGATCTTTCCAAGTTCGGATATAGTTTTCGCATTCTTCTGCAAGTTATGTGAACCATCCAAGTTACTCCCACCCTTTTCTTTTAGATCAGCCAATTCAAGATGGAGCTGTTGTATAAGCAAATGGAGTCTTTCCATCTCAGCAAACTGATAGAAACAAAGCTATTAAAGTTAGCATACATTGGAAACGATACGCAACAGTCAGATGTAACATCACATATCAATCACTATAGCTTAACCACCTGCGTTTGGCAACCAAGCCAAAGCTGATTATAGTGTTCCGTGCGTTCTCGCAGTTCAGCTTGTAAAGTGTGGTTGGTGGTTGATTGCAAGGCATCCATTTCCTGGGCACGAGTAATCCAGGCTTGTGCCTCTCGCAACTGCTCATCCTTAAAAAGGATGGTTTCTTGAGCAATCCTATGCTGCATGAGGATGAAAACTATAGTGCTTCTAATCAATTTATATAATTCCATCAAATTTTCAGATATGTGGTGCAGGGCATAGCACAAGCGTTGTTCTTCCAACAAAACATCATTGAAGAACGGCGGCATTGCCTCGAAATTATTAAAGCAGAACCATCACGTACTAACATAATAAGTGTAACCAGACCAGCTGAGATGAGTTCCGTGAATGTGCAATAAACAGCTTCTTTAACTTTTACAAAATATTGTAGATTTACGAATGTCTAAGGTACTTGAATCAAGGTGCTTCATGAATTTCATTAACGAATCAATATATATATATATATATATATATATATATATATATATATATGCATGCATGCTATGCGACATGCCAACAGACCTGATCTTGCAACTCCAGGAATAAGCGATCCTTATCTTGGATATGTTCTTGAAGATCATGGATTTGCTTAATATGTTGCAGTCTTTCAGCTTCAGAGCTATCCCTCTCCCTTCTGCAATATAAAGTAGGTATGACCAAAAACTTTCAAAGCAGAAGCAGAAATAATGTTCACATATATCAAACCATTAGAAGAGGAAAAGGTGAACAACCACATTGGCCATCACAAACCACAGTGATTCAACAAAACAACATATATTGAGTATATAAGCCATGATTCCAAAATCAAAATTGATCAAATATANTAAAAAAAAAAAAAAAACACCAATTTCAAGATCCATGCAATGGAATAACAACTGAAACTCCAAAAGTTACCTGTAGCTCTGGAGCTCTTGGCTTTGTTCCCTCAAAAGGTCATCCTTGGCCCAAGCCTGCTATAACAGATGAAAAGGCTTAATTCAATAGAATAGTCAACAAGAAATTGCAGATGAAAACCCACCTAAAGAGTAAGGAAAACTAAGAGGAAATCAAGCTAACCGCTTCATTGTCTAATCTAATAGCATGCAATTCTCTTTCTTTCTCTTCCAGCTTTTTCTCCAACTCATGTATCTTCTGTTCTTTTTCATGCAGTTGCTCCTAGATAATAGATCACATTCCTAAACTTTAGCAACAAAAGAATCATAGCCAATAAAATCCATGAATCCAACGAACACTAAAAAGCTTAACAAAACAATGGAGTTCCACCAAAAGAACGTGCAAAAACCTGAAGTTTGGCATTGGCATCTGCAGTCTCTTTAATCTGAGCATCAAAATTATTTTGTATTCGCACAACTTCAGAACTCATAATAAGCTGTGCACGAAGCTCAATCTCCATCTGCTGCAGCTCCTCCCTTCGTTTTGCCAAGGCACCAAGTCTCTGCTGCATAATATCATTGTCCAAACATCCATCAATGGTTATCGAGCAAAAATCCACATCTACTGGCTCCCTCCCACGATGTACCTTAAATTACACATAGCAATTCACCATCATTTGTACTTGCATGATAGTGGCAGTGGAAGGAGTCATAAAAAAACATCGATCAAGAACCTAGAAGCTGATTAATACCGTACCTCATATATCAATCTCTCATCAGTCTGAACTAGCTTAGAATGTTCCAATCCCTGCAGATGAAAAAAATAAAATGATAAATGACAGAAGATTTATGTAAAGTCCTGACCTTTATAATAAATGTTGTATAAACTAAGCACGATAGTCAGACAGTAATCGAGAAAAAAGCCAGTCCAGCAAGTTACTAAACTAAACGAAAACTCGACAAAAATCATTTCAAAACATCTATACTTAATACTAATAACATCATTTCATTAAAAAACGAGAAGCAGCAAATGCAAGTAGATATGTCAACCTCGTCGCCAGAGTTCCGAACCGATTGCTCGGAGACGACGCGCCACTCCTTGCGAGAGGTATGAGAAGAAGACGACGACATAGGCGGCGCCGGAAAACCGCCATTCCGCGCGCCGGTCGGGACAGCAGGCGCGGCCTCCATGAACGCAGAAAGAACACTCGTCCAAAACCAAATCCTAATTCCTCATTAAACCCTAACGAAAAGCGCGAGAGATTAAAAGTGCATAAATCTAGAAAGAGGGAGAAAAATCGGTCAACGAGGAGTCGAAATCGAATGATGAAAAATCTTTGGCGCACTGTCCGGCAGGCAGTGGAGGTTTGGGAGGGATTTGATTTGAGGGCTTTTGTGGATTGGGGGTTTTTAGAAGGGCTCCAAGTTAAATTAGTATAACTCACGCGATAGATTGGAATTTGTGGAGATTCGACCCGACCGTTTGATGAACGAGACACCATATATGAAATAGTGCGATATCATTCCAGATCGGAATAAAATTATTTGATAATTGATATCATGTCGATTTGGGAAAATAAATAAATAAATAAATATCATTAAATTTAAAAAAAAAACAAAAACAAAACAAAAAAGTTCTCAAATAGTTTCAAACATTATATTAGTTCATTACATTGTTAATGGATCTAATGTATAATATGAATGAATTGTGATTAAAATAAAAATGATAGATTGTGAAAGAAATAAAAATAAATAAATATAATTGTCAATTAAATAGTTAAACTTACAAAAAGATTCTCTCAGTGGAGAGCTTCGGATTCTCTCGATTGGGAGCGCAATATTGACAGAGTGTTCGCAATTTGTGTGTTACTTGGATTGTTGTTTCCCAAATCCAGTTTCTCCTGTTTTGTTAGTAATTTCTCTTCTTCCTCGTTGGTATTCCTGTAGCTAGGGTTTCCTGTTTTGGGCAACTCGCCATTTCTAATGGCTAGAACATCCAGTCCCAATCATGATGAGGAGTTATCTCTTCGTATGGAGAACTTCTCGCTTTCTGATAGAGAAGCACTGCTCGTTGACATCGGCCAAGAAGATATTCGCTTTAGTGCGGAAGAGTGCAACCGAAGTCTATTTGGCAAAATTGTTGGTGACCGGCCAGCCAGTTGGATAGGTGTTAAAAGATCCATGACCCAAATATGGAGACTATCTCAGCCTATGGAGGTTAAAGAACTCGAGCCAAATTACTTTCAGTTTATATTCCAGAGTAGGGAGGATTTGAAGAAAGTGCTTGGCGGTACAAATTGGAGCTTTGAGAATCAGTATCTGATTTTATCAGAATGGATAGATGGACTGAGTAGTAAGCATACTTGTTTCCAGAAACTTAAAATATGGGCACAAGTGCTCAATGTCCCTCTGAATTGGCTCTGCACTGAGGTGGGCATTAAGATAGGCAAAGTCTTCAAAGAAGTGGATAATGTGGTCATAGCAAACTATGGGAGTCATAGAGGCAAATTTTTCAGATTAATGGTGACTTTGGATTTGACAGAGCCTATTCCCAGATGCACAAAAGTCAGACTTGGGGATCAAATTACTCCCATAAGCTTCCGATATGAAAAACTCAGGAACTTATGCCACTACTGTGGGCACATTGGGCATCTGGAGAAGGGATGTCTTAGAAAGGTCCAAGATATCAAATCCAATAGTGTTCGAGAAGGTCAATATGGTGCCTGGCTTAAAGCTCCTGAAGGACAGTTTGGTGCGCCCAATAATACCAACACAACAGGATCAAGGAGTCCACCACATAGCCCACAAAGATCCAATCCAAATCCAAATCCGTCCCCAAAACATAGCTATCCTCAACAAAACATTGCCAGCCAGGCATCTCACAGGAACCAAATCATCCTTCACCAAGAGAACCCAAATCCCACTCTCTTATCATCAATCAATGGTTCAACTACTAGTTCCCCAAGTAACCATCTAAAAACCTCAGAAACCTCTAAACCGACTCCTCAAACTGAAGAACCTGTCAAATTCATGGACATTGAAACCAGAATGATCCCTATTACACAAGCCACCTCTTTCTTGAAACCTGACAAAGGCAAGGCATCATGAAAACATGGAAGAGAGCTGAAAACCGAGAAGGTCGTCTTCAAAGACAAGAACGAAATGTTGAACTTCCCATATATGGTAAGAGGAATAGGAGCAAATCTGACTCTCCTGAGGATAAAGAAAACCTGTGCAACCAAACTCAGACCGATCCAACCAGCAAAAAACTTAAAGCAAGACCAAAGGAGGTGGGGATGGCCAGCCTTGAATGGCACCCAAGTTCCAAATGCTAGCTGCGCTGTGGAACTGTAGAGGGCTGGGTGGTCCCTCTACAGTTTCCCAAATCAGAGAGACACTGAGGTCTCATCACCCGGTTTTTGTATTCCTTTCTTAAACAAAAAAATCTAATGCTTTTGTTCAAACTGTTGTTAGGAAGTTAGGTTTTGATGATAGATTTTCTGTGGTTGATCCTCAAGGTCTAAGAGGAGGCTTATTACTTCTTTGGAACCCAGATGTAAATATTATTCAGATTGTTAGTTCTTCTTTTTTTATTGTTGTTCATTTTCAAATTCCTTCCTTTGAACCCCAGTGGGGGTTTTTGTCTATCTTAGCACCTGTAGAATCTAAAGGGCATCTCAATGGGAAGCTCTGGAAGTGGAAAAAAGTAAATTGGGTGACCAGTGGTTTATGGCAGGTGACTGGAATGACCTATGTTCCAGCTCAGACAAGATTGGAGGAGTCACAAGGCCTACCAACAGCTTCTGGGGTTTCAAATCATTTATTAACACCATGGAGATGGAGGAAATAAAGATGCTGGGATATCAGTACACTTGGTGCAACAACAGAGGCCCCCAAAACATGGTTGAAGAAAAGCTAGATAGAGCCTTTGGCGCTTTGGAGTGGATGCAGTCTTTCCCCAATGCAAAAACTCTAAACTTGGTTTTTTGTTCCTCTGATCACTCTATCATATTAGTGGACCCAAGGATGCCTAGAGAGAGAAAAGCAAGAAGATTCCAGTTTGAAAGAAGATGTATTGGAAAGGCTGGGTTATTGGATGTGGTTTCTCAGGCTTGGCTCAGTACAACATTAGAGACACCTTTTTTTCAGCTTAAGGAGAAGGTCAAGAACACTAGAATTGCTCTGTTGAAATGGAGCTCTCAGTTCCATACTCAAAATCGGCTTCAAATTGCAGCCCTAACACAAAAGTTGGAAGAACTGAGAGAAGAGGAAACTGAATCCAAATGGAAAGACTGAACAGAACTAGAAGAGAACTTGACAAAGCACATCATGAAGAGGCCCTCTACTGGCAGCAGAAAACTAAATTTCATTGGCTAAAGCATGGTGACTGTAACTCAAGATTCTTTCATGCCTACACAATGCAAAAGAGGAGGACGAATGCTATAACCAGGCTTCTTAATGATAGCGGAGAGGAACTGACATCTGAGCAAGATATCCAGGAGCACATTCATGAATTTTACAAATCTCTTTTTAGTTCAGAGGGTTCTTGGGGAGGAGATTCTTTATTGCAGCTGATTAATCCTTCCATATCTGATGAGATGAACCAAACTCTACTGCTTCCAGTGGGGGAAGAAGAGATCAAATCAGCTTTATTCAGCCTTCACCCTGATAAGGCCCCCAGAGAAGATGGTATGAATGCTTTATTTTATCAGCATTTTTGGCTTCTTATTAAATCAGATTTCATTGCTGCTGTGATGAGTTTCTTCTATTCTGGCCAAATGCTTCAATACTGGAACCACACCATTCTTTCTTTGATTCCTAAATGTGCATCTCCTGATTCTGTTGGCAAGTTTAGGCCTATTAGTCTATGCACTGTGGTTTACAAAAAGAATTCCAAAGTTCTGGCCCAAAGATTGAAAACCTGCTTAGATGGTTGTATAAGTGGATATCAGTCAGCTTTCATTAAAGGTAGGCAGTTACGAGATAATGTTATAATAGCTCAGGAGGCCTTCCATTTCCTTAACAGACATTCTTCTGGGAAGAACTATTTTATGGCCCTTAAGCTAGACCTTATGAAAAGCTTTTGACAGAATTGAGTGGATTAGTATAAAAAAGATCATGATTCAGATGGGATCTCACTTTGATTTTGTTAAACTGATTATGGCTTGCATTTCTACCACCTCCATTGCTTTCAAAGTTAATGGTGATATCAGTGGTTTTGTCACTCCTTCTAGAGGCATTAGACAGGGGGACCCTCTCTCCCCATACCTCTTCATTATAGTGGCAGAACTTCTCTCAGCTCTGGTCCAGAATGTTATTAACTCTGGTCTTCTTAAAGGGTTGAAACTGTCTCAATCAGGACCCCAAATCTCCCACCTTTTATTTGCAGATGACTCCCTGTTCTTCTGCAGGGCTGGGATTGATCAAGCTGGGGTGTTAATGGATTTGTTGAACATATAAGCTATTTACTCGTCAAACAGTGAATATGCAAAAATCTGCCATATTTTTCAGTAGGAACACACCCTCCCCTCTTCAGGAGAACATCTGTGCAACATTGCAAGGTATCCAGGTTCACAGATCCACAAAATATTTGGGTTTGCCTCTTGGCATTGGCAAATCTAAGAAGGAAGTCTTTGCTTACCTGGTAGAATCCACTCAATGTAAACTCCAGAACTGGAAATCCAAGCTCCTGTCTTCTGCTGGCAAAGTTGTTCTGCTAAAATCTGTTTTGCAGGCCTTACCAATATTTACTATGTCATGTTTTAAGTTGCCTGTTGCTATTTGTTCTGCTCTATCAAGTTTATGTGCACAATTTTGGTGGAAAAATAGTTCAAATGATAACAAAGGGATACATTGGAGAAGCTGGTCCAAGGTCACAGTACCCAAACAGAATGGTGGGCTGGGTTTTCTTGACATAAAATTGTTCAATGCAGCTTTAATCTGCAAGCAACTCCGGAGAATTACATCTCAGCCTGAATTACTGGTGAGCAATATTCTTAAAGAAAGGTATTTTCCTAACTCTTCCATATTCCATGCTACTAAAACTCAGAAGGGATCTTGGCTATGGAACTGTTGGTTAGATACTCTTCCTTTATTTTCTAAATGGCTGAAAGTGGAGATTAGAAATTGAGCAACTACCAGAATTGATGATTATAATTGGATTCCTAACACTCTCAGGAATAAGACTGAAATGCTTGATATAGCCAGAGAACACCTTATTTTTGTTCAGGACCTAATGTTACCATCTGGTCTAGGCTGGAATGAATGGCTAGTGCAACAGGTTTTCAACCAAGAAGACAATGATGCAATTTTGAGCATCAACACCCTCAAGCCAGACAGAAATGACAGAATTTATTGGGGATTGGATAAAAAGGGAAGTTTTCTGTGGTCTCTACTTATACTTATCTGGTGCAACAAAAGGTTCTTCTGCTAGATATTCCTGAATGCAGTGACAGATCCAAACCTTGGTAGAAAA